GGGGGGGGGGGGGGGGGGGCATGCGCCCCTGGCTGGGCCAGGGCGGCCTTCCCGGGGCTTTTCCAGGAGAGTCGAGGAGACGAGAATCTGTTCTGTCGCCCATTCACCCAGCAAACGCTGCCTGAACACCCACTCTGCCCGGGGTGCGGGGGCCTGGGGGTACGACCTGGGATGGGGTGGACTCAGACCCCCGCCCTACTGGCGACCCAGTGCCGCACACCCTCTCTGGTCCCGGGAGCCAGTGTGTACCCTCAGTGGGCTCAGCTGACTTGCTGGGTTCCTGTCACTCCAAGGAGGGTGACCAGTGTCCCCTCTGTGACAAAACAGGAACAGGATTGGGGTCAGGGGCTAGGCAGTACTTTTGTGCCTCTTTCCTGTTCCACTGACTGGTGGCGTGGAAAGTGATGCTCAGAAGGCATCTTGAGGCCCTTCCCCTACAGGCCTGGAGTCCCAGGGAGGGGTGACGTGGCGGGCAGGGGCTGGGGGCACCCTCCGTGGCCTTGGGGCTACGGATTTTCAGGGAGGCCCTGAGGCCTTGCTCTTTGCTTCTCAAAGTCCCAGAATTGTGACCTGGCTCCCCTGGTGGCTGCCAGCTTCCCCTCCCGAGGTCCTGGATCCTACAAGCCGTGTCCCAAGAAGGAGAGGAGTGCCTCAAACAGCACCCTGTTACCAGTTACACAGGGGTCGTCCCTTCCTGAGAGGAGGTTGCAGCAAGGGGCTGAGGCCACCGCCGGCCAATGACATGTTCCGGACTCGCTGGCACCGAGCCTGGGCACCTGACAGCCTGCTCGGGAGCTGACCTCAGTCACCAGAGGCCACTAGCTTCCTTCTGGCCCCAAACCCACCAGCTCCCCTCACAGCAGTGGGGCGGGAGGGCAGGGAGAGCAGGGGGCACGGTGGAGACAGTCCCACAGCAGATGCCTCGCTGTGGCCCGGTGCCTCCCACGGAGCTGGCCTGGAGCTGTCGTGGTCACAACGCACCAGGGCAGGCAATGCAGAGCCTCCCTGCACCTGTTCCTGCAGCTGCCACCACTGCTCACAACACGACGCCCGCTGGCACAGCAGACAGGCTGGGGACTGAATTTAGGGCACCGGATAATGACACCTCCAGGAAGCCAGGTCTCTGTTCTGAGAAAGAGGGCATGATGCAGGGGGCCGTGCCCAAGCGTGTCCAGAAAATAACTCAGAAGCATCCTTTGCCCTGGCATTAAAAACCTCACCATATATAAGCAGACCTCAAATCCAAATATTCACACTGACGGCCCGGGTGAACGCGGCCCCCTCTGCTATTGGCAGTGAGTGACCACGGAAGGTCCCGGAATGCCTGATGGTGGCCATGGTGCCAGCTGTCAGGAAGACAAGGCTCTGCCCCTCACATGGTCCCATTGACCCCGCTGGCCATTCCCCTCCCTGCACCCAGGAGGGGACCGAGCCTCAAGAGCGTCTTCCGAGTGGCCCTCAGCTTGTGCACATGCACACACACACCTTCCTCCACGTTCTGGAGAGAGTGACAAAGAAGCACCATGTGTTCAAGTGGAACTGTGGTGTGTGTGTGTGTGCACGTGTGTGTAGGGGCATGTGTGTGGTTTGGTGTGGGTGTGTGTGGAGTGTGTGTGTCTCCGTGTGTGTGCGGGGTGTGCATGTGTCTGTGTGGGTGTGTGGGTGGCACAGGGAAGGAGACAGCAGCACCCAGAACTGGGTGCCTGCCCAGAGCTGCGTGGGCTCTAAACCTCTTCACGACCATGCCCCCCAGCGACAAGCACCTAGCAGGTGCGGCAGGATCCGGTCTTGGAAATGATGCACAGAGACGAGGCTCTTGGTCCCACTTCACTCTGATGTCAGTGAACTACAGACCTTAAAACCAGACCTACAGACGTGCTGTGCATCAGCAGAAAGAGAGCCGCAAACACACATACACACACACAGACGCGTGCAGCAGAGTAAGAGAATTCAGAAAACTTTTTTAAAGCTAGTGATTATCCTATATTACTGAAACTCAAAAGGCCTACGCTATTTGAAAACTTTATTCGTACCCTGAGCCAGCTTTCCACCCCCTCAGGACTGGCATCGTCCACAGAGGAAGCAGACGTCCACTGTGTGTGTCCCGGGAAGCAATCCGTGCCAGCCACGTCGGTCAGACCTGCCCGCGGACCCAGGCGCTGCGAGGGACAAAACCTCCAGGCAGGGGTTCCAGGAAATGAATGAACACAACCTACAAAGTTCCATTTGTGCTGATGAACAAAATCCAAGGGAGAATGATGACACTCCATTTTCGTGTCGGAGTCTGCAGGGTCCGGAGTAACACGGGCCAGCTCAGCCCCGCCCACCACGGATGTGCAGCTCCGCCAGCCGGCAGGGTCACCACAAGTCTGCTCGAAGTGGGGGACCCATGGATGTTCAGGGACATGAGAAGTTGTCTTTCTCTCTTGGATTTAAATCATCTAGCCTTATTCTATAACATGCTAAATTAAATTTTATTAAGTTTATTTATTTTCAAAGAGACAGAGAGAGCAAGCAGGAGAGTAGCAGAGAGAGAGAGAGAATCCCAAGCAGGCTCCGCACCATCAGCTCAGACCCCGATGTGGGGCTTGGAGCCTGATGTGGGGCTCGAACTCACGAACTATGAGATCACCGCCTGAGCAGAAACTAAGACTCAGAGGCTTAACCGACTGAGCCACCCAGGCACCCCTAAAATTAAATTTTAAATTACACTTTTAAATATCCCTAAGGAAAATGTTCACAACAAAGAGAACCAATTGGTATATATAAGAAGGACTCAAAAAATAACAATAACAACAAAAAAAGAACTCACCCTATTTTGAAATAAAAATTGTAAGAGAATAATTTAGAACTCAGTAGGAATGTCTTTTCTGCCACACTGTGTCGATATTTTCTCACCATCAGTTCAGGGCAGCGTAAGTTTTCGCGGTCGCAAGAAGACAAAACAGAAGCTCACGGAAGAAAGCGTCTGGCCTGGGAGGCTCCATGACTCTACGAACAGGCAGCATCAGAGGTGACGGGAAAACCAGGAAACCACAAAGAAGCACTAAGTCGAAGTGCAAACACGAACTAATTCAGCACTAATTTTGTCAAGTTGAAATCATTCTTTCATTCGAAAGCTGCTCTGTGGTGTGGGAGAGGGCGCCGGCCACAGTGGGAGGGGGCTCAGGCCCTGCTGCAGGCCCTGGGCTGAGCCGGCCGGCTGGGCTGGGGCAGAAGGTGGCAGGAGCAGGCCCGCCCAGCCCTGTGCAGAGCACCCGGATGAAGTTCACAGGGAAAGGGAAGGCCCAAGGTCGCATGGTGGGACAGGATGGAGCCCAGAGTCGGCCTGGGGCTCACACTAAGGACCCTTGGGCACCCTCGTGGGAAAGATGAAGGGGTGAGTGTAACAAGGGCTCCCATCCCTTTCACACCCTTGCTTCCCAAGTAAGAAGTGAGCACTGCAGTGGGAGGGCCTCACGAGGACGCCCCTGTTCGCTCCAGGCCGCAGCCGCACAGCCCCAGCCAAGCTGCACGATGGGGAGAAGGGGTGGAGGCAGATGGCCAGACAGGTGGGCCGGACAGATGGCGGGACAGGAGGCCTGGCCAGACCAGAAAGGGCCAGTCCCCCACACTGCCCGGTGGTGGAGCACAGCCCAGGTGGCATGTGGGGAGCCCCAGCCCCCTGCCCACCCCCCTCCCCTCAGCACCCGCCCCAGGATGTGAGCTGGGCTCCCAACGCTCGCTCGTTCCGACAG